CGCTGCTCAGCCTAGATTGAATAAGTATGGTGAAAGGAGGCAACCTGTGTCAATCTGGGTAGACTAGAGAAACATATTCATAGATACTCATAGGTGTATAACAAAGAGGTTTATATACAAGAGCAATTGGATATTGAGAAAGCATCCCAGCCCAGTCCATAAGTCTGATATTAGCCCATATGTCCGATACCAGTCTATAAATTCCCCTTCAGACTCACACAACTCACACAACAAGGCTGAATGCAGGGAGATCCAGGCCAGTGGGTGAAAAGTCATGTGGATCCAGTGGTGGTGGAAGCATTTCAGTGCTGGTGTGGGACTCCACATGGCTTCTCCAGTTCCAGGACTCTGGCTCCATCAGTGTAGCTCCATGTGGCTTGTCCACAGGAATGTCTTGCAGGAAGTGAGTGTGGGTCTGGCCTCCAGTGAGCTATTTATCTCCTTTGCACCTCAAAATGAGGTCATCAACCTGCAACCTGGTTGACAGGCTAAACTCCGCCCATTCACTCTTACTAGTCTCAAGTTGACACCAGATTATGTAACTACTACACAGCCTGACACACACCTTCCCTGATTTTAAACTACACAGTATCTCCTTGCCCTGCTTGGAGCATTGTCTCTTGGTCTATGTATAGGTTCCACATGAAAAAATGAGATGTTCTAGAGTTCTCATTTTGCAAAGTTGCCCGTAACTTATTGTTATCTATACAGCTGAGTGCCTTTGTAAAGTCTATAAAACACAGGTAAACATCTTTCTGGTATTCTTTGGTTTCAGTCAGGACCCACATAGCATCAACAATGATCTCCCTCATTCCACATTCTCGTCTGAATGTGGGTTGAAGGTTTGGTACCTGCCTGGCAGTGTACTGCTGTAACTGTTTGGAACTCTATTTTCACTCATTTGAAGCATGGAGCTCTGTTAAAGGACTATACCGCAGCATCTGGTACAAAGTAAGTAGACAATAAAGCTAACTGGTTCTTAATGGAATTGAGTAATATTTTGAGCTATTGAGTCACGTCGTGTGTCCTGTCACCCTCCTGCTTCCTGTGTGGTCGACTGGCAGCCGTGTTGAGTCGGGAAGGGCTTGGCATCTGACCTGTGGACTTGAGTTTGCCTGCTCTGGGTCTGTGAGAGCTGGTTTCTGGAGACACATGTTTTCATTGGCATGCGGTTGCTGTTAGGTGCCATCGGGCCCATTCTGAGCCCCCGCGACTTCATGCACAACAGGAGGAAACACTGCCCGGCCCCGTGCCCTCCCCCCCTCCCGTTCCTGTGCCTGAGTCCTTGTTGCAGCCCCTGTGTCAATCAATCAGTCAATCCTGTTGAGAGCCTTCCTCTTTTTTGCTGCCCCTCTACTTTACCAAGCAGGATGTTTTCCTGCAGGGACTGGTCTCTCCTGGCGACATGTCCATCTTTGCCTCTAAGGAGCAGTCTGGCCTTTCTTCTTCCAAGACAAATGGGTGTGTCCTGTTAGCAGTCCATGGGACTTTCAATAGTCTTCTTTAGCACCACAGTTCACATGCACTGACTCCTTGGTAGAAAGTTCTTTATATGCATAGAGGAGTGCCACTGTTTTCGTTCCTCCTTGAAGATCCAGTTTCATCTAGACCTGGCTCCATTCCTGGTGGCCTGGGAGGTGGCCCGGGCAGAGATGAGGAGCTGTGGGACTTTTCTGGTGGACGACATTCTCTAGAAGGCTTTGTTGCCCGGGGGCGACAAGGGGTAACCATGGCGGGCGCCCAGGGACAGGAGAGGACCCTGGGCTCTCCTCAGCACCCGACAGCTAGGGCGTCACGTGGATCCAAGCCCATCTGTGGAGCATTCCATTCAACGACCGAGATGAATCTGCGCCCTTTTGCTCCGCCTCATCTCAAAGGCCAGGTGCACACCTCAGATATTCTATCGATGTTCAGATCTCGAAGAGAGCAGCTCTTCTGTGTACATCTGAGATTCAGACCAGCTCCGTGAGCGTGTAAATCCCCGCATCTTACCGCCTGGGGAACGGAGGCTGGGGAGGAAGTGAGTCATTCAAGGTCACTCACTGCAGTCTTCCATGACGCACGCTTGTTGCAGCTCCAGCCCCAATCGGCCCCTGACAAGTTTCTCTCCAGCCCTCACCTCAGCCCACTCAGTGTCACCGTCTCTACTCTAGGGAAAAGAAAAAGCACGCACAGAGAATGTGAGCCCAAGACCTCACACATGCACTTTCTGGGGATGCCCACGCCCCCTGCCACGGCTGGCCCCCTGCAACGTGTGGTGTCCAGCCCTGTGGACTGCTTTCGATCACACCGGGATCACATGTTAGGCCCGATGTCTCCCTCGTCTGGCTCTGGGCTCCCGATGGTGGAGATGACCGCCAGGTCCACCTCTCTGTGGCCAGGGAAGCAGCTGCATTTATTTAGTTATTTCTCATCGGAGTGGAGCTCACACGGGGGCTGAGGAGGGTATAGTCATTTGTGTAAGTCAGTCTCCAACTACCAGGAGTCCAGACTGCACTAGGGGAGTCATACCCACCCTGCGCCAGGGAACTGGTGCTGGAATCTTATCGTGGCTTTTCTAAAAGCTTTTGAGTTCTTGGCTTGCCCTCCCTGGATAAACTTGCCCCATGCCCTCCCTGATAGCGCCCACGTTTGAGTACCAGTAGAACGATCCCAATCTTGTGAATAAACACAGAGCCACCAGTGCATGGGAGCTTTGATTCTGGCCTCTGGGGAGTCACCTTCCAGGGGGAGAGGGAGCTGGGCCTGACTTCCAGGACTCATCACCCGCCACATGTTACAATTGGGTCAGGCTGGGCCACTGGTGACCCCGAGCAGAGTGACATGGCGTTTGCAATCTCCCTCTTCACCCCTCCCCTTCTCTCCCACCTTGGATGCTGACCCCAGAGGGCCCCAGGCCCTAGATGCTGCAGGTGGGGTCCACCATCCTGAAGGATAGTCAGAGGAGGAGAAGACCGATTGAGGAGCAGACCCGCTCCCACATGTAACCTGTAATCTGAGGGAGTTCCCTAGGATGCTGGGTACCAGGATGCAGTGAGCTTGGCCTTAGCTCAAGCATCTCTTGACCACTTGGAGCTCTGCCTTCATCACTGACAAGCCCTTTAGCCTCTCTCAGCCTTGCTCTCCTGGCTGGTCTGTAGGGCCCGTGAACAAGCCACCCGCGACTCTTTGTGCATGGTAGGAAGGCTCTTTGCAGTCGGCCTGTTTCCTTTCCTAACCAAACACATGTGGAGCACCTACCACATGCCATACTTGGTGCTGGTGCTGCTGTGGGAGGACACACTGCCCAGATGCAGGGCATGGCCAGGGGGCATGCAGACCTGGCCTGGCAGACCAGTGTCCACAGGGATGAACACCTGAAACAAGCCATTCCAGTCCATGGGAATTTCCCTCTCTGCTTCCCGGGTGCCAGGAAGACAGCTGGATATGTGCTGGGGGTGCATTCTCAGGGATATGAGTGTGCAGCCTTTTGGGACCCCAGTTTTGGGAAGAGGCGTGGAGGGAGCCTTGCCGAGGTGGGATCAGATCTGGTGTTGAGTTGACTCTGACCCGACCCGGGGTGACCTCGTGGGGGTCGGAGGGGAACCGTGTGTCCTGGGGTTTTCCATGGCCGACTTTCCAGAAGTATATCCCCAGGCCTGCGTGGACTCAAACCTCCAACCCAGTGTTTAGCAGTCGGACGCATTAGCCTAGGGACTCCTGGTGATCTTAATCAAGTCTGTAAAAAAAAAAAAAGTCATTTCCCCCTTGTCTGCCCTTCTGAGTCTTCTCTCGGAGGTCCTTCCAAATCACATGTTCCACTTAGGAGTCTAGCCCCCTCAGTGGGGCCAGCCGTGTCCTGGGACATGTTGGCTGCTCCCAGCATGCCCTCTCTGTCCCATGTAGATGCCCTTCTTCCACCCCCCTCCCCCTGCCTGGTGCGGGGGAGCCTGTCAGCTCACCCCATAGGGCTCCTCACACTGTGTCCCAAAGGCCCTGCGGCCACCTCATCCCTACTTGATCCTGATGTCCCCATCTGAAGCCTCGATTCACCCGGGACGCCCTCTCCTCCACTGCCTGTGCTGTGCTTTTTCCTGTTCCTTCCGGTCTTAGTTCTCTGTCGGGCTATAGATCTGAGAGCGTGCCAGCCTTCCAGCCGGACGCCAGAACCTGCTGCATGCGGTGCCTGTGACCCTCTCCCTGGAAGATGCAGAGCCCTGACCTCATCGGTTTCTTAAACCTGACAGTTGGATTGTTCTCCTTCGTCTTGGTGTGTGGCACGCGCCTGCCTCCCCTCCAACAACCTCCCCCACCCCCCACCCCCGGTTCTCCCGATTGCTATCATGACCCCTTATTTCCCCCATCTTCTAACGTGGAGGGAGAGCCCAGATCTCTGGGCGGTGTATGAGCTTCGAGCCTGTCTCCTCTCTAGACTTGTCCTGTGACAGCCGCTCTCTGCTTGAACCCCGAGGAGCCCTGTGTCCTGGTGACAGGCAGAACAGACCCTCTCTGCCTCCGGGGTCACATTGGGAGTACACCGAGTGCCCCCCAGAAAGTGGGGGCTGTGAGGACTGAGGTGGGAGACCAGTGATGCTCAGTGCAACCAGGCCCAACCAAGAGGGGCAGACCAGGCGGGGGTGAGAGGCCTGTTCCGAACAGGCCTCTTTACAGACCACATGTGGAACATGGATCAGGTGTCTGGCAGCAGCCGCACCTGTGTTGGCTCAAGCAGTCCTGTTTGGAAAGAGAAGCAGATCAGAGAGACGCGTGTTGACGTTTCCTGGCCTGGAGATCTGGCATGGGCACGCTTCATCTTTGAAGTCCCTGGGGGATAGAGTGTATAGCCCTTATCGCTGTGGGTGTTAGATAGCCCGATGCTATCTCAGGGTGTTTGTGGAGCGGCCCGAAGTCAGAGGCTATCTCTGTAGGCCAGGCTTCCAGCCAGTGGAAACCCGTTCCCTCTATAAAGGCCATGGGAACCGGCACCGGCCAGAGCAGTGGTCAGCCAGTGGCCAGCCAGGATGAGGTACCTCGTGGTGTTTCTTGCAGTCCTCACCATCTGCCAAGGTTTTCAGGGCATCAGGTGCGTGTCAGGCCTGTGGGGAGGGGAGGGTGCTGAGGCATCTCCTGTGTCCTCTCTGGGTGGGATCCTCCCTGATGCTCTAGCCTTCGGCTTCTCTTGAGCGTCTTTGGAGGAAGTGTGGCAGGTGCCCAGGGTAATTGTCTCCTGTCACTCTTACCTTTGCTGGCTGGAAACTTTTCCTCTGAGTGTGCCTCCAAGGCGGGAGAACAGGAACAGGGAGTCAGGGAGGAAGGTTGGGAAGATGAAGAACAGGATTCCTGGAGTCAGACTGCCTCGGATTTGAGCCTCTGTTCCAGTTCCATCTCCAACGTAACCTCTCTGTGCCTCAGTTTCCTCATCTGTTGGAAAATTAGAATGATCACAGAATTCACCTACTGGATTTATTTCTTGGGGCTATTGCAACCAATCATCCCAAATGTTGAGGCTTCAAGAGTCCCTGGGTGGCACAAACAGTGATGCACTTGGCTGCTAGCCTAAAGCCTAGAGGTTAGAATCCGCCCTTAGACACCCAGAAGCAAGGCCTGGCAACCTGCCATTGCAAACCCCGTGGGACACAGCTCGACTGCAGTGATGCCTGCGGCGCTCCCTGTGTCGGAGCGGCCTTCATTCCCAAACAAAAGCCACTTCCATAGGGAGCAAGAATCAGGTCTCTAGCATATCCTTTGTGGGGGTCCAAGTCAACATTTGACTCCATCTCCTGGAGCCGCTATGAGGAGTATATGGATTAATAGCTGCTCACTGGGAGCTTTGGTGACGTGTGGTTACACGTTGGGCTGCTAACTGCAAAGTCCACCGTTTGCAATCACCAACTGCTCTGCAGGAGAAAGATGGGCTTTCTACTCCCATAAAGCGTTCCAGTCCCAGAAACCCCCAGGGGCAGTCCTGCCCTGTCCTAGAGGGTGGCTGAGAGTCAGCATCGACGCTGTGGCCGTGAGTGAGTGAAATGTTTCTAACAGTACCTGGCACATAGTAAGTAACAAATGCAACCATTTGTTAAGGAATACAAAGTTCTCTGTCAAATGAAGTTTCCAGATTCTGCTCCGGAAATAATACCCAGTATTTACTGAGCTATCGCTAGGTGTCAGGCTCCTAAGTTGGCCTCTGCCTGCACTCTTGCTAGTCTCAGGGTTATCTTTGTAGGTAAGGACTATTATTTGCGTTTTGCCAATGAGGACACTTGCTCAGAGCCCCCATGACCTGCCCAAGGCCATATGGCTAATTAGGGAGGAGCGAGGACTTGGTCCCAAGTGGCCCCATCGCGACATCACCAGCAACTTCAAGGGTCCCGGGTCTGAGCCCTGGCAAGCTAAGCCCTGTATGTGGGGGGAAGCCTGTCTCTTGGAAAGGGGCCAACCTCCACGTTGTCTGGAGGTTGGAGGCAGGCCCTGGACTGTGGTTTCCATGGTAGTGGGTCTCTAGCAGCCCCTTCAGGGCATCTCTGTGCACAGCTGTCCCAGCTCAGTGTGGGGTGGAAGACTGCCTTTCAGATGTTGCCAGCTCCCCCCTCCCCCC